TGCCGGCCGCCATTAGCTTTAAACTGTGGGAAGACATGTTGCTTCTCGGCGAAGCGGATGTGGAGGGCGGCGGCGATGCCCAGAAGGATCGCCCCACGCGGGGGACGCTGTCGCCCTTCTACAACGCCGTCTTAGACGGCGTTAACGCCATTGACCGGCTGCTGCTGGCACCGCTGGAGGTGAAGGATGTGGTGGCCATCTTCCACGCGGACCCGGGGCAGTTTTCCAGCGTCGTGGTGCAGGCCCCGCCCACGCTGGTTAGCGGGGCGATTCAGTTGACGGCGGCCTCATTGCCGGTGGCGTCCTCGCCCATCTACGCGGACGCGAGTAGGCGGAGCTCGGACAAGAAGAGCCTTAGCAGCAGCGACGGCAGCTTAGCCACGCTCGCCTCCTCACTGCACCTCATGAGTGAGAGGAAGGACGGCGAGCACACACAGCTGCACAAGGGCGGTCCCGCGGCCTCCTCGGCGGGCGGCGGCCACGCGGCGGGCAGCGCGGCTCGTGGCAGCAGGAAGGATGGCGGTGTGGACGCGCAGCACGATGACCCGCATCAGCCGCTGCTGCCATCACTGCACTCGTCGCGGCCCCCTTCAGTGGGGGCGGTGCGCTCCGAGACGGTCACGCTGCCGTTCAGCGCAAGCGTCTTTCTCTCGCTGCTCACCGTGTCTCGGTCGGAGCTGCAGACCACCATGGCGCCGAACAAAACGCACCTGATGGACTTCACCGTCACCAACGCCTCTGCCCTGCCGCTGCCCTTCGTGATCCGCTCGCAGACGATGCCGCAGAAGAACGTGGAGTTCTCCCTCTACGAAGATGACAAGTTTGAGGAGCCAAAGATTGGCCGCACGCTGCTGCTCGACAGACACGCCTCCATGAACTTCACACTGATGGTGCGCACCACCGCCGCCGCGCTCTCCAGCGGCGCCACCGGCATGCAGCACTACCGTGCGGTGCTGCAGTGCGACAACCTCCGCGACGCCCGCAACTCGGAGCTGGTGTACGTGCATATCAACGTGGTCGCGGCGGAGTCGCAGACGGACCTCGTGAGCGTCATGGATCCGGTGCTGGACTTTGGCGAGGTCTACCGTGGCACGCGGGTAACCCGGGAGCTGAGCGTCTGCAACTCCACCCGGGAGGACGTGACGCTGCGCCTCCTTGACCCCCGCCCCCGTCACTGCGAGGGGGTCCTCAGCCTCGTGCGACCAGGCCGCGGCGGCGACGACAGCAAGGGCGGCACCGGCAGGGGCCCCCTCCCCAACCCCAGCGCGAATCCCAACAGCAACAGCAGCAGCAATAAGAAGGAGACGGCCACCGACGACGGGGGCGACAAGAATGAGGCGATCTTCGCCGTGGATGAGGTGGTGATAGCGCCGCAGAAGGGGAGTGTGCCGGTGGGGGTCATGTACGTCCCTTCCACCGACCAGGAGCGCAAGGCGACCTCGAACCTCAAGTTTGAATTTGAGTTTGTTGTCACCGGCGTGGGAAGCAGCACGACTGGCGGCGGCGGTGGTGGTGGTGGTGGCGGTGGTGGCGGCGGTGGTGGTGGTGGCGTTGGTGGCGGCGACGGTAGCAGCAGGCGGCAACAGCGGGTGATGGTGCGGTGCGTGGCAACTCTCTTCACGAGCACCATCGTCGCCTCGCAGACGAACATAAACTTTGGTGACTGCCAGGTGGGACAGAGCAGGCGCTACACCTTTGACATCGAAAACCCCTCGCCGCTGCCCACCACGATCTACGTGGAGCTGCGCAGCAAGGTTGTCTCCATTGAGGGGCTGCAGCCGCGCGTGTCGGCGACCGGGGGGCGGGAAACGCTGGGGGAGTTTTCCATCGCCCCACACAGCAGCCTCCCTATCACGCTTCGCATCAACCCTCAACGTGTGAACCCCACCTACCGCAAGCAGCTCACCATTGCAAACGTGTCGAACCCCGCCGAGGACCGTCTGATTGTGAACATCGAGGCCAATAACATGGCGCCCTCCGAGGCAAAGCTGCACGATGCGTTGTACACGTGTGAGGCGAAGGCGCAATGCGACGACGGAAGCGTCAACGCCGGCGGGCGCGGCCACGATGGCACGGGTGCGTCTCGGCTGCGCACCCTCACAAACGTCCCACTAATCGTGGCCTACGCCCTGCAGTCCAATGTGGACTACCCCCTTGTGCTGCAGCTGAACAGCTCGAGCAGCACAATTGACACCTTTTCCCTGGAGGGCATGTTGGCGAGTGAGTTTGAGTCCATGGCGATGGAGCTGCGCGACTACTGCTGCTACGGCGGGGAGGAGGCGGGGGAGCCGCCCTCAGTGGAGCGGGCGGAGGTGCTACGGAGCAGCGTCGTCAATGCCCTGCGCCAGCACGCCGTGACGATAAACAGCATCACGCTCGAGCCCCGCGGGAGCAGCACGTTTTACGTGCGCATTGATCGCACGAACGGGGGCGTGGATGCGGTGACGAAGGAGGATGGGGTCAGCATCATGGTGGAGGGGATTGAGGTGCCGCGGTTCGTGCGCCTCTCCTACCGCCTCTGCGGCACGCGCTTTGAGCTGGAGGGGCAAAAGACGAAAAACTTTGGCGAGGTGAACATTGGTGAGCGCAGGACGACCAAGATCCCCATCGTGAACCAGTGCAACTCCCCGCTGCTGCTGAAGCTGTCCAAGTCGCGCTCGGTCACGGCGGGGCACATTCGCATGGAGAACTCGGACAAGAAGTGCATCTACTGCCGTATCCGCCCATACGCGACGAAGGAGGTGGAGCTCTGCTTCTACCCGGGCATCAAGGGCAGTTTCGAGGAGCGCATCCGCCTCACCAACGTGCTCGACCCGTCCAACGAGGTGACCGTGACGCTGAAGGCGAGTGTCATAAAGGCGGAGACGTTTGACGTCAGCCCCAGCTCGTGGAGCTTCGGGGTGGTGCCGGTGCCTCCGCTGCTGCTTGCCCCCTCGCTGCCTGGGAACAGTGGCGGTGGCGGTAGCGGGGCCTCTGTGGGCCGCGACGATGCGGGGCCGCCGTGCGCGCGCGCAGGCGCCCGCTTCAGCGTGGTCAACACTAGCAACACCCGACGGGAGCTCTGCCTGAAGCTTGACGCCCCCGCGGCGACCCCGTCAGCGTGCGGCAGCCCCTCGTGCGGCAACGCCAACAACAACACCGCCGTCGTGGACGCCACCACGAACCTGGGCGACCGCTTTTTTAAGTTGACGGCGTCGAGGTGCGGCTGCAGCTGGAGATGGAGCACGGTGGCGCGAACTCGGGCTCCTCCCGCAAGCTCGAGGAGAAGATTGAAAAGCTCGAGCAGAAGCTGAAGATCTACCGTCGCAAGAAGAAGATGGAAAAGGTGGCGGCGGCAATGCGGCAAATTGAGGCGCTGCGCTGCGCCCTCATGGGGAAGGAGGTGGACGCCAATCCCACGGCGACATCCGCGGAGGGGGGAGCGGCCGCCTCCGCAGCCGCGGGTGGCGGGGACCAGCAGCAGCAGCAGCAGGGGCGGAATCTCAATGTGCTGTCGGAGAGCGAGGATGAAAAGCTGCCGGCGAGGCCACCGGCGCGCCAGCTGCAGCACCCAGAGTTGCTCTCGCTGCTGCTCTGCGACGGCGTGGCGTTGCCTGAGATGAATGCGGGGGAGTCGACCATCCTTGTGCTCACCCTCACCTGTACTCGGACGGCGGAGTGGATCCCGCCCGCACAGAGCGGCACCATCACCTTTCTCCTCTGCGAGACCAAAGACAAGGAGGCCAATCGCGTCATTCCGGTCGACATCACACTTGTGCCCACGGAGGGCGAGGGCGAGGGCGACGGGGACGGGGACGGGGACGGGGACGCCGCTGCTCGACCCACGGTGGCGGCGACCGTATTGCCGGTTCCATCCCTGCCAGCAGTGGAAGGAAGTCCCGCGGGAAGGTCGCTCCCGATTTCGTGCAGGGACGCCGTCCTCTTGCCATCGGCTGCGGAGTTGACGAATGCGTCGTTCCCCCCGCACCTGCCCCCGGCGGCCCCAGCGCCGTCGTTCATCGCCATTGAACCCGGTGAGGGGGTCATGGCCGCCACGTTTATGCGCTGCCCCGTGGCGTTTGTGATGCACTCCGTTGCCTACGAGGCGTGCAAGTTCACCATGCTGATACGGGCAACGGATGGGACGTCGTTTGTTGTGCTGGACCCGCTCCGTTGCTGCGGCAACAGCCTCCACAGCGGCATGTTGCATGCGGCAACCACCACGTCGGGTGGTGGGGCCGGCGGGAATAATAATAATAACAGTAGTAATAGTAGTGGTGGTAGTGGTAGTGTGGCGAATGTGAATAATGCCGCTGCCGGAGGCGGCGGAGCAGCGGCAGCAGCGGCGTCGTCGGCGTCCACTGCGTTGATGCCCGCAAAGACGCTGGATGCGCACTTCAAGTTTGTCCCACGCAACGGGACGGTGCGTGCGTCGGAGCCGTTTTGCATCACGGTGGAGTGCACCCCGATGAGCGTCGTCCCGCAGCGCTACTTCATCCCCGTCAAGAACCTGCGGCACCCCTCCGATGTCAAGTACCTGGCGGTGGAGCTGAGCCCCACCGTGGAGGAGGATCTTCTGCAGGTGTCGCCGAAGGAGATTAGGCTGCGGGATATCGTGGTGCCGTGCGAGGAGAGCCGTCTTGAGGTGCAGTCGTTTGTTGTGCGCACGCGCCTCACGATGCCGCATGTGCTGCTTATTCGCTCCAACCGTCCACTGCTTGTGTCGCTCTTTGAGGACGCGAAGTGCACCATCCCCCTCGTGAGCCCCGTGCAGCGGGTGTTTTCGCACGAGAAGCTCCGCATTTACGTCCGCTTCCGGCCGAGTGAACGTACGTGGCGGCACAAAAGTCGTCTGGTGACGGCCGGCATTCTTATCGAGGCGCTGGCGGCGGGCATGGGCAACGAGGCACACGGTGGCTACAGTGTTCTGGCGCAGACGAGCGTGCGCCTTTCGGCGCACGTGGGCAGCGGCGAGGTGGTGCTGCAGGAGTCTTTCATTGACCTCGGTGCTGTTCTGCCACGCTGCCGCCTCGCACAGACGAGCTTCACCGTGCGGAACCCGTCGGACCGCTTCGAGGTGCGGCTGCGGGTGACGGCGAGCCTGACGGTCACGCACGTGGAGACGCCGGAGCTGAAGCTCCCGCCCAGGGGCGAGGTGGAGGTGCCCGTCTCCCTGCAGCTTGCCGCCCCCGGGCTTCTGCGGGAGTCACTGGTGGTGTTTAACCTGAGTTGTCGGCAGAAGCCGCTGCAAGTGGAGGTGTCCATACTTCGCCTAGACGAGGCGATCTCCGCCGTAGTAGTGGCGGAGGATGATGCACCGCCGCTGCCGCAGGAGCAGCAGCACGCGGTTGGCTTGCCGGCGAGTGCCGCCGCCGCCGGGCCGCTGACCCGGCGGCAGAGCAGCAGCGAGGAGGTGGTGGTTGTGCTGCCGACGGCGGCGGTGGTGATCGGCGAGGACGGCGGGCTGCAGCTGCACAGCCCTGTGAAGACCGCCGCGTTGCACATGACAAACCACAGCACGCGCGACCTCATCCTTGTGGCGAAGGGCCCTGCGCCGCTCGTGCTTGGCCTGCCACGGCCCGCCTCCCCGGTGGAGGAGACGGCGGCGGCGGCCGCCCCGTCGACGCTTTCCTCCCCCGTCTACCCACGCGGCCGCGTGCGCCTGGACGCGCGGCACACTGAGGCCGTTGCGTGGACCCTCACCTCCCTGCCGCAGCTGACGGAGCAGCAGGCGCGGCGGCTGCTGCGGCACGAGGTGGTCACAGTGGTGGAGACGACGCAGGTGTACGTGGCGCAGATCATCGACGAGGGGGCGGGATTCAACTACACCGCCATGCTGTTTCCCATGAAGCGCTCCCTGCCGGCCGTGGGGCAGTGCGTGCTGCTGCCGCGGTTTGTTCTCACCTTTGCCGTGAGCGAGGGACGGGTGGAGACCCCGCTGATTGAGCTCGGCGTGGTGGGCGTGGGCGGAAAGAGCGGCGCCGGCGGCGGCACCCCGGTTGTGGTGCGCCTGACAAACCTCTCGCCGGTCCTGCCGCTGCGCCTCAGCATCGAGTGCGAGCCAACCGTGCGCTTTGCCAGCAACCGCGTCGTCGTGCCGCCGCTGCAGACCGCCTCGGTGGAGGCAGCCCTCCTGGTCAGCCTCATCCGGACGCAGGGGCCCTTTTGCTTCGCCGTCTACTTTGTGAACGAGCTCAACCCTGAGAACGACATGGTGGTGTACGTGACGGGGCAGTACTACTGGAAGCTGTTCGACCTCTCCTGCGACGGCGTGATGAATAGCGCGCAGGAGTCCCTCTCCATGGAGGCGCTGCGGGTGACGGAGACCACCATCACCGCCGCCACGGACATTCTCTCCGAGAGTAAGCTTGTCATGACCGCGATGGAGCCGAACGTTGAGGTGGGCGTGGACGTGGCGGATAACCCCAAACTGGCGGGCCTCATTCAGCTGCAGGTGCTGCAGTACGATGCCGCGGCCGCACTGCAGAGTATCGCCTTTGGACAAGCGAAGCACGGCACGGCCAACAAGGCTGCCCCCGCCCCCATCACTGCCGCAGCTACCAACAGCATGAACGCCGCGACCAGCAGCGGCGGCGTGGGTGGGGGCCCTGGCGCGGTGAGTGCGGCCGACGCCGCGGGGATCTCCACTGTGTCCCTTTCTGCCGCCATCGCAGCTGGTGCTGCTGGTGTGGGCGGCAACGCGAGCAACGGCACCGGGGGTGCGAATTCGAGCGGCAACGCGATGGGGACGCCGTTGGCCACCGCCGCCTCGATGCCGTCCCCTGCGGCGGCTGCGCTGCCTGCCCTGACGAAGCCCGAGGACCTTCTGAAGGGGGCGCCTCCCCGGCCGAGGGAGCAGCAGTCCTTTCGCCTGCGGTGTCTGCTGATGAGGGGGGACTTCGCCGCCCTCTCTGCCGCCTTCTACGGGCAGCGCAAGCTGAAGCGGGCGGACGTCCTTCGGGAGCGACAGGCCATGACGTTTGAGGGCCTCGCGGAGCTGGAGCGGCGGCGGGGCGCCGAGTCTCCCTCCTTCTGGCTGGGCACCCTCCACTTCACCAACTCCCTCACCTCCGCGGATGAGGAGGTGCAGGTGTTCAGCACACTGCGCGCGTTTCAGACCTTCGCCGTCCCCCCGCGCCTCACGCTGACCCCGCAGACCGCAGCGGCGGCCGCGGCGGCGGCAGGAGCGTCACCCGGCGCAGGAAAAGAGGGCGGGAGTGGAACGGGCGGGCCGCACTACGCGGCAGAGACGGTGTACGCGGGCGAGTTAGTTGTCTCCAATCCGTGCGCGCAGCACACGGTGGCGCTCTCCATCACGCCCCTGCTGGACCGGGCGTACCAGGACGGTGTGGCAGTGTCCTGCACCCAGCTCAGCGAGCCGTCGCCGGAGAGCGAAGGATTGACAATGCCGAGTGCGTGGCGCGGTGATCCAGACGCGGTAGGGGAGCAGCAGCATCAGCAGCTCATCGCCAGAAATGCGACCGGCCCTACGGGCGCCTTTTCACCCTCGCCGCTGCTCTCTACTACGAGCGTGCCGGCAGCGGGTGCTTTGCCGTCCCCGCTCCTCACGGCAGAGGCGTCAGGTGCGGGCGCGACGACGACCACCACCACGACGCTTGTGGCGCTCCCGCCGCAGCGTGTGCAACGGGTACGGGTCATGCTACGCGTGGACGCGAGCCGGCATCAACCAAACGTGGAGCAGGCCGTGGCGCTGGCCCTCTTTGATGAGAGCGTCCCGTGTAGTGCGGCGGTGGTGCGCATTGCCCTTGCCCCGCTGGATGAGAGGGAGCAACAGCTGCAAAAGCAGCAGCAGCTTTTTTTGCAAACCACCGGGGCGCGTGTGGACTCAAGGGCCGCCGCGGCTGCGGCTGGTGGTGGCCGTGAAGGCCCGCTGGAGGAGGTTGTGGACGCGATGGATAGGTCCACGGCAACCGTCACAAGCCTGCGAAATGCGTCGCCAAACGCGGCGGCCGCCACGCCTGGGGCGGGTGGCATTCACGTCGCTGGCGGCCTGGCGGCGGCGTCGGGGCTCACCCATGGGATGCCCTCCTCCTCCCCCTCCTCCTCCCCCGCCGCCGCCGCCGCCGCCGCGGGGCCGCCTGCGGAGGCAGCCGCATCGCCGCGTGTGCTGAGTCTGCATGGCGGCTGCCAGGCCGTGGCGGGGTGCCACGGGACGTACACCTGCCGCTTCACCTACGCCAAGGACTCGCCCCCGACGACGGACATTGCGATCCGCAACAACCTCGCGGAGGCGGTGGTGGAGTACAGCGTGGCGATCTGGTCGCAGGGGCCGCAGCCGTGGCTGCTGCTGCCCAGCGCCACGGCGGTGCTGGAGCCCGGCGAGACGCAGCCACTGCGCCTGAACATTCTCTCCACCGAGGCGGGCTCCTTCGGGGGGTACGTGAGCATCACCACCCCCGCCGCCCCGGGGGAGCTGCTGCTGCTGCAGCTCACCGCCGAGGTCTTTCTCCCCACGGCGGGCGAGGGGCTATTTGAGATTGTGGCCTCCAACGGGCAGAGGATGGCGACAAACGCCGAGCGCAGCGTTTTTATTGGCCGCCTCTTTGGCGCCAACACGCATCGCACGTACGTGGCGCTGGAGATTGTGAACCGCTCCAGCATTCCCCTCGAGTTCCCCGTGGCCGTCGTGAATCCATTCCGCATGGAGTTCAATAACATGCCGGAGGACGGGGAAGACCTCAGCCTCGCCGCCGCCACCAACAACGCTGCTGCTGCTGAGGAGGAGGAGGAGGAAGCGGAGGCGGAGGCCGCTTCGGCTGCTTCTAGCCGTGGCGGTGCGGCGACCGCGAGTTCCAACCGCGGCAGCGCGCACGGCGGCGGCGGACGAGCCACGGCGGAGGGGGACGACGGCAAACCGCAAGACGGCGCTGTCGCCCGCCCGGAGTGTGAGGTGCGCCTGCTGGTTTCGCACCTCCACAACGTCGCCGAGATGCGGGGGCAGCGGCGCTTCGTCGTGGACCCCAAGTCCCGCGTGAAGGTGTCCTTCCTCCTCGTCTGCGACCGACTCTCGCTGCCCAGCGGGGTGGCTGTCGCCGGGGAGGCGGAGGTGGTGCTGAAGTGCAAGCAGGCCCGCGACGCCCGGTTTGTTGTCAAGGCCCGCTTTGAGGTCCTCCGGCCGTCGATGCACTCGCCGCGGCGGCTCTTCTTTGCGGCCGCGGAAGACTACGTTCTGAGCATCCCCGTGCGAAACCTGCGCTCGCGCGAGCTCCGCGTCACGTTCCGCACGACGTCCCCCATCCTTGACGTGCTCCCCGGCGAGGACCGCGAGGGCGGCGGGGACGCGGAGGAGCGGGATGCGCGGGAGCGGGGAGAGTCGGGCGGGCGGCCGCAGCAGCAGCAGCAGGGGGAGGAGACGGCGGCGGCGACGGAGGAGAACTTCACTAACCTGCGCGTCATCCCCGGCGGCGGCGCCGCGACGGTGCGGGTGCGGCTGAACGTCGCCCGTGTGACCGCCATGTTGTCGTGGCGGACGTCCGGCGACGCGGCGGCGGTGCTCCCGGCGCTGAGCGAGCAAGTCCTGCTGCTCAACGTCCGCGACCCCAGCGAGCGGGTGCGGGTGGAGTTGTGCTACGCGCCGTCCAACGCCCCGCCGGCGCTGGCGTCCGCCGCCGCCGCGGCGAGGCCGATGACCAGTTCCCTCAATGCCGGCCGCCGCCAGATCTGCGAGCAGAGGCTCTTTCACTTCGCCCACGCCTTCTGGCGGGTGCTGCTGGAGGCGGCGGAGGTGTTCCTGCCGGAGTTCGCGTGCTACGCGGCCCAGAAGGGCCTCGACGCGGCCACCGCCGTCCACGCGGGAGGCGGCGGCGGCGGCGGCGGCGGCGGCGGCAGTGGGAGCAGCGCGGGCCGCCCCACGGCGGGGGCGCTCGCGTCCTTCTCGCCAGCGCTGCACTCTCTGCTGGTGGACCTCGCCTGGTTCGTGGAGGAGCTCGTGCACTACTCCATCCTGCTGAGCAACTCGCGCGCGATTGAGGCGTACGGCGTCTTCCTCACGGCGGTGGTGACGGGCCACCCGCTGATGCGGGCGTGGCGGCAGCACAAGGCGAACCTGCCAAACACGCGCAACTTCGCCGTCTTTGGGCAGTACTGGGAGACCATCGACGCTCTGCCGTGTCCGACGCCCTCCCCCGACTGACGGCCCGCTCCCTTTGCAGTCGTGCAGTTAACCGCCGCGCACGCACACACACACATATATATATATATATATATACACGTGTATACACACACAAATCGGTTATTGTTGGTGGCAATGCCATGACTAGGCCGGGTGTGGCCTCCGTACTGGGCAGCGACGAAGGAAGAAGGGGAATGCAGAGGGAGACAGGCGCCCCAGCGCCACGTTTCTCCACTCGTTGGAGACAACGAACTGCTCTGAGCGGGGTGGGGGGTCCGTGGGCGAGGAATTGGGGGAAGCAGAAATGTACCGCCGCTTCTATTGTTCATATGGCTTGAAGGTACATGTACACATGCTCTCACGCAGAAATACATTTATATATATACATATATATCTGGGGTCACGTGCGGCTGCGAGCATGTAGGGCGTTCTGACTGTGGGTCACTGTGTGTGGACGCACGTGGGCTTGCCCCTTGTGTGTGCCTCTGCCTCCGGCTCTCCTCGCGACTTGAGCGCGGCACGCCGGCAGGATGACACTAACGCTTTCACTTTTCTCGCCCCTTCTCTCCGCCTCTCCCAATACACACACCACAGGCAGGCAGGCGCAGGCGGTGTGTGCGTGTGCCTCTGGCGGGGCGGAAACTTATCGTCCAACTGCCGCCCCACCTCCCCACACAAACACACACGCACACCGATGCAACGAGGAACCGTACTCCTTGCCCTTTTTTTGGCGTTTGCCTCATGCCTCTGCCACGTCGGTGCGGCCCAACCCGGTACCACGCGTGAGAACAACACGGCAAGCGCACGAGCCCTACTACAGGGCCATACGCCCCAGCATCTTGGCACGTCACCGCAAAGCAACGAAGGACAACTACACGTACCCGAACACACGCGCGTAGGGGCAGGGTACAATAAACTCGATACAAATCACACATCCCTTCGGCACTTCAGTTCAAGCCACCAAAATACTGCTTCTACCATGGATAAAGGCAGTGAGGGCCCTGTAGCAGCAGCACCGAGCTTGATGTCGACGCCCAATGGCAAGGCCCCCCAAGACAACAGCACCGAGCTTTGTGGTTGAGCGCAGCAGCACGGATTCGATCGGATTATCAAACACTGTTAGTGCCACTGGAATTGCTTCGAGGACATTGTCTTTGTCGTTGTCAGTGTCGAGTACGCCTTCTGTGTTGATGTGTCCTATGATGTTCCTGCGGGTAGTTTGTCCTCGGTGCCTATTGGTGTTGATAGTGTCCGTGCGGGGTTTGTACTCAGTGGAAGATTTGGTGGTAAATGGAATTTTTTGCCTGTGAATGGTAGTAGGCCTGATGTGAAGGATGGTGAGTTTGTGAGTTTGAATGCTAGTGGGGTGAAGGTTGTTTGCCGTGAGCGGGAGTTGGGTATGATGAGCCGTCGGGGCTGCTCCTATTTCTTGCCGTTGATTGAGCGTGGCGTGGTGGTCCGCCGAAATGGCTTGGGCGTCTTTGAGGTAAGTTCTCCCTCAGTGGAGAACTTTTATATTGATGCGACGGAGTCTATGGAGTTTGCGATTCCTGTTGAGGCGGCCTTGGGCTGCCGCGTGGAGCCCCCGTTGGGGCCGGTGCAACACAAAAGGTCGCATCTGCAGCGCGGCTTGGGGGGAGCAAGACCTACCGCTGTGCCCGCTCATATCTGTTGCCGTGGATCCTGTGCCGCAGCCCGTGTATGCAGGCGGCACGGGGGAATTTGGGAGGCTTACCGCCATGTTCTCGCTGTTGGGTGCGCCTTTGGGTGTTCCGGGTGTTAACTACGTGACGGCGTTAAGTATGCGGTAGTTTCCCAGAAGACGACGGCTTGCGTCTGGCGTGCAACGCATAAGTCTTTCTGTGTCGACGATCGAGGACTCCTTCGTTGGGGTGATGCTGGGCAACCTCATTATCACCGGTGGCGTGCTGGCGTTGCATGTTGTGGTGATTTTCTTGGTGAAATGGAGGCGCAGTTCCTCGTGGGCGGTGGCCGCCGAGCACAGCTTCTTCCCTGGAATTCCGTTGCTTCTTCTTGTGAACCTCTTTCTGGGGACCTCCGTTGCGTCCATGCAGGGGCTCGCGTCGAAGGCGGGGCCCACGCTGGCGCTGGGCATTGTGATGTTCGTGGTCTTTGCTGGCGGCCTCGTCGTGGCGCTCTGTGCCTTGATGGCGAAGGTCCGTCCGACGTTTTACCCCGTTGTTTCACCTGCATTTGCGACGGCGGCACAAGACTCGTATGTGGCGGCGTTGGCGCATCGGTGGCTGCTGCGGGTGTGTGGGATCTGGCCACCGGCGACCGTGGCGAACAGCTTATTTCTAGTGCTGGCGAATCTGCGCAGGTCCCGGGTTGCGTGGGTGACGCTGTGGCTCTGGGCGCCCCCTGCTCGTCTCCGTGTGTGCGACGTTTCCGGTGGGGACGGCCGCGGGGTGCGTCGGCGTTCACGCCGCGCTGATGTTTTGCCACTTACTCTTCCTTGGCGTCGTCGCGGTGTTTCGCCCCCTCATCTCCCCGCTGGACAACGGCTACTACCTCGCCGTGATGCTCGTGAGCGTCTGGCTCCTCGCCGTCAACGTGCAGCTCTTCCTGCACCCCGCCGACCGGCGGGCCCTGTACGCCGAGTGCGGCGCCGCCGTCGTGGCCATCGCCGCCTTCTCTGTGCACGTCGTGCTGAAGATGCTGCAGGCGCTCGTGTTTGCCAGAAGGAGGTGGACGGACCTGGACGTGTGAGGCACGCCAGGGGGGCGCTACAGGGAGCCCAACGAGGCCGCACTCTTCTCCACGATTCCGCACGGGGCGGCGGCGGCGGCGGCGCCGTTGTCTGTCGCGGGATTCCCACTGGTGGCCCCGCGTGTGCTGAGCCTGGTGGAGCGCACCACCGACGACGGCCTCGGCGACCACGTTCTCCCCGGCCCGCAGCTCCCCACCCCTGTGGCGCGCGAGCTGCTGGCGGACAGCGCGCCCGCCGTGGACGGGCTGTCACGGCCGTTGCTTCCACTGCGCGGGGCGCGGCGGAGGGCGGACGCCTGTCGTTCAGCTCCCTCTCGCTGGGCTCACTCAACTCGGTCGAGCTTGACTTGCTGAGCAGCCGCGGGTCGCAGAAGGACCCGCTGAGGCTGGGGGCGTGAGGTGCGGCGTCAGCGGCGCCCCTCCTGCCCCCTCCCATTGGGCCTTGGCGTGTGCCTGTGCGTGTTTGCGTGCGCCCGGTGTTTCGACGGGACGTGCGAAGGAGGACGTCTGGGCCGGTTCTTTGCGCCCACACGCCGTGGCTGACGTGGCTGGGGGGAGTGCCGCTCGCCCACCACATACGCTGCGGCAGCCCGTGTGTGCATCTACATGCCGTCATGCTCGAGTGAACACAAGCGATGGCGTCTTGCCCCGCTGCTCTGTTCATTACACCCACCCACCCACACATGCGCGTGCACACATGGAGGCGTGCGTAGGATTGTAGGCCGTTAGTACCGTTCTTCTCTTACGTGGCTTAAACTACCCCCCTCCTTCTTCTTTAGCGACATTGATTTGCTCGTTCGTTCGCTTTATTTTTTATTTATTTATTTTTATTCTTCTGCCTCTGTTATGAGTTCGTCGACGCATTTCTTTTTTCTCCACTTTTTTTTCTCTTGTGGTCCTTGTTTTCTTCTTTGCTTGTCTGTCTGTCTTTTTTTTTCCTTCTGCGTTTCTCGGTCGCCGGGGTGGCGCTACGCCCCTCCCCCGTTTCCCTGCGCCCGCACGGCCTCTTTTTCTCCGCACCCTCTTCCCCTTTACTTCTCGCTTTTTTTAAATTTTCTCTCTCTCTCTCTCTCTCTGTGTGTGTGTGTACGTGTGTTTTTCCCTCGCAGCACCGAGCACACAGCCAAACAAGCAAGCACAGCAATATGGCCAAGGGCAAGAAGAGCGGGGAGGCGAAGGGGACGCAGAAGCGCCAGAAGAAGATCCTGCGCGAGAACGTCCGCGGCATCACGCGCGGGTCCATCCGCCGCCTGGCGCGCCGTGGCGGCGTGAAGCGCATCTCCGGCGTCATGTACGACGAGGTGCGGGGCGTGATCAAGGCGTTCGTGGAGGGCGTCGTGCGCGACGCCACGGCGTACACGGAGTACGCCCGCAAGAAGACCGTCACCGCCGTCGACGTCGTGAACGCGCTGCGCAAGCGCGGCAAGATCCTCTACGGCTACGAGTGAGCAGCGGGGCGGCGTGAGTGTGAAGGCCACGCCCCGTGCGCCCTCGCGGTCGTCGTCGTCGTCGTCGTCTTTTTTTTGTTTGTTTTTATTTATTTGCTGTTTTTTTTTGTTTTGCTTTTGGATGAACGCCCCTCCCCCTCCGTTGGCGGCAGCCGCGCACACGCGCAGGGAGGGAGGGGGGAGGAAAGGCGGGTGTGTGTGTGTGTGTGTGTGCCGCGGCGCGCGGGGAGGAAAAGCAGCGAAGGGACGAAGAAGCGGCGGCGGCGGAGCTGCAAAGGCAAAAAAAACAAACAAAAAATAATAATGATGAAAAGCGTGTGTGTGTGTGAAGGGGAGGAGGAAGAGGAGGAATTTTTGCTCGGGGGCCCACGTCTCTCTCTTTGTGTGTGTGCGTGAGACCCCCCTTCTTTTTTTTTTGTTTCGTTTCTTCCTTTTTCCTTCTGCGTTTATTTGCCGCTGCTTTGCGTGCTGCATCGCCCGGCGCAGTGAGTGAACTACGCCCGGTGCGTGCGGCGTTGGTAACTCCGTGTGTGTGTGAGAGCGAGAGCGAGAGAGAAAAAATGGAAGA